AAAAAATTCCAATTACATGGCATTTTAAAATAGGGTAGGTACTGGTAGATAGGGACATTTTTTATTGGCATTTTTTTGGTATGGTCGTCTGCGTGCAGTCAAGGGTAAAAGGTAGTAATTGATGATTTTCAGGGATTTTCCCTCATTTTTCCCCAAAAAAAATGAGGGTAGGGGCTGTCAAAATAGGGTAGGTAGGGTAACCTGAAGCAGAACTATTACAGTTGAGTCTCGTTAATACAAACTCATTCGGACCAAGCCAAATTGTTTGTTATATCAGAATTTTGTATTAAGAGGAACATCGGTCCCATTCATTGTGCACATAAATGCACAGTTGGGACTAAGGCTTTATGTTTGTTATAACCATAATTTTGTATTAACAGATTTCTGGCTGTATCCATCTGCTTCAAAACCCCTTTACACTTCAAAGCATTATTTTCTAAAAACTTTTGTGGTTTCCCTCCAGGGGGCCATCACCAGTGAGGGTTTGGCAAAGCAGACTATAGCCACATCTGGTAAATTCATTGTGATTTTATTTTTCAGTTTTCAGGGAACCTGTTGAACTTGGAGAAATGTACTGGCAAGGGTCACTGGATAGATTTTCTTTTGTTGAAATATTAAGTCATGCAGTGATACGTCTACTTGTAAAATGCTGTACATACATGTACAATGTACATATATGTACAGGGAAACCATATACTCGGTAGACATTCGTTAAACAGAGGTGCGAAATCTCTTGTTTTGGATTTCAGCTTTTTTATCCCTCACTTGTTATGTACAAGAGTATGGGAGATTTCAAAAATTCAGCTTTTTTACAACTTTTTCAGCTGTTTTCAGCCAAGCTATTTTTATCAGTGGTCACTCGCACCCCTGTTTAAAGTAATAAACACTGTGTTGTGAAATATAAATGAATGTGCACCTGTTTTTCTGATTGATTGAATGGATTGTTTGGACTGATTGTTCGTACCCTTGAACACCATATCAGAACTGGACCAATCAAAACAATTTTACAGTGCCTTGGGATCAATTCAACATAACAACTGTTGTCTGTTTATAAATGTTATCGATTATTGTTGATTATTGATTTATTAAATTTGCACAGCATTCCTTTTGTGTAATTTATAAAAATAAATTAAAGAGGACACAATGGAACATATACTCTGTAAGCACTATTGTAAGCAATTATAGAAAATTTGATTAAGATTAGCATTTCATTAAATAAGACTTAACCCCCACAACACAAGCAAAACCCAACCCAAAAGCCTCCGAAAAATGAGACTTCATCAAAATCCCACATTAATTCTATGAAATTGGTAGGACAAGGAAGTAAAACAAGTTTTATCTAATGCAAGCTTGACCAAAAAAAATGTAAAAAATTACAAGTAAAATATTTTTGTTTCATAAGATTGATGATCAAAGTTCACCGACAGCACTGCTTAACAATTGCACAATTCATGGTTGCTGGCCCAACATTGGAGCAAACAGAGTTTTAATTTCTATGAGTCGAAATTTTTGAACAGCCTTCAACCATGGTTCAATTGTATAAGATTTTTCCACGAACAGCAATGTAATGTTGCAATTGCAACTAACAATGCACATTCTTGGTACAGCATGTGCTGCTGTGTGCACATGTACAAACAGCATGAACATAGCACTGTTAACATTGTCATTAACACTGGTTTGGCATGTACTTACAAATACCTCACTTGGTCTCGTAACAAGATATGAAGCAACCAGTCCAGTTGGGAAGAGGAGCATTTAAGAAAGGCAGAATGAGCACACATCTTCCCCTTGGGTCAGAAACCACAAGGTTCAGTGTAGCCGTGCGCTCATCTCTCCTGCGGCTGCATGTAAGATTCACACACAACCCACCAGCCACACTAGTCAAGCAGTGCCACTGACAGCCTACCAAAATGGATTACACGGCATATTGTCCCACTCAATTAGACTACAATTCAGGAGTGTCTGTGCGTGTAAAGGGTACAGGCAAGGTCTGTGCACGTGGAGCTTGTTTGAAAAAGGCCTGGTGCCACAGACTACCAACGTGTGTACACATATTAAGGTCTCCTCCAAGGCCACTGGTAGCACAATGTAATGCTTGTGGTCCCAAGCGTTGATCAAAATTTAATCAGGTGCATGTACAGCCGCTCAAATTTCACTCAAGTGTGGATGCAGTGCGCTGAGCACATGTGCATGCTCCAAATGGCTGGTCTTTTGGGGGGGGGCGAATATCAGCATGGTTAAAGTACAGACCTAAACGGTTCGTGGTAAAGTACTCTCCAATGCATTGCAATGGAATCAAGTGGTAGACTCTAGGGAGCTTCCCTTAGCAATTCACTGTAATTATTCATGATATTTTTACTGCCCTACAGACATATTTTGCTAGTAATTGGATTTGGTGTCTCCCGCTGGTAAAAGTACCAAATTAAAAGCCATACGGGTAACTCATTTATAAACATTAAACCCTGTAGCTTTTTTTTTTTAGATTACAAAAAACATGGCTGAAAACCTGGTTCCATATTGATAATGGTGTACTGTTATCTAACATGTGGAGGTAAGATTATTTATATCACTCAGAAAAAAAGTATAATTACCAAACAGTCCGAAGAGATTTGAATACAATTATGCATTTGCACCATTTATAATTAAACCTGTTCAGTCAAATTGTTCAAAAACTTCTTGACTGCATCCTTCACGTGTTTGCTATTTTCACCTAGGGAAAAGATAAGGCCAAAAAAAAGGCTCCAGTTTCTGGTCTGCGCGTGCGTCGCGGTAGCCATACGCGTCGGCAAAATTACAAAGTTTTTTTTTCAATGTAAGATGATGTCTCAAAACCGCCAAACTCACTATTTTAACTGGAATCCTGCTGCTGCACAATTTTAACGTATAAGCTTTTTTGTATACTTGTGGCCTCTCTGGGTTCCCATACATTTTGCACTAAATTTAGTTGGGCACCATTTGCAGTCATCAGCCGACACTTGAAGAAAAAACAAGGTAAAAAAAAAAAAAAAAATTCCCAGGTACCATTGCCTCGCTCACAATACAAGATCTTAATTTATTACAATAAATTATCAATGAGACCCGACAGTATTTTATGTTCGATCGATGCAGTTTCTAGGCCCGCTCATCAACATTGCACTGCGTTGTACTTTTTGGCACCAGTTCTGGACAGCTTGCAGCTGTGGCTACAGGTTTTCTTCCTTTTCCTGCGGCACGCATTCCTGTCACTTTTTGCGGTGTAATTGATTTGCCATATAACCTAATTAGCTCCCAAGGCCGCCCTCGGTATCAAATAAAAAATACGAGAAAGATCTCATCATCATTACATATTTACATTCATCATGCATGTTGGATGATTACTGCTGTCATTTATTATGTGAATGCATAAACACATGCCCACTGCTGGTGCTGTTGCTATGGTTGTTGGATCTTATTTGCTTGAATGCAATAATTAAAGTCTACACGTATGATGTGTCTGCATATTTTTTTTCCCCTCCGTGGTGCGTTCAACTCCCAACACTCGTTTCCTAAGAAAATGTTGTCAAGTTCAGTACATTATTCTCACATCAGTGTAAAAAAAAGATAGTTTGATGAGTGATGCATAGGACACAAAAATACTGCCAACTGTTTTTTTGGAATGACCCTCCAATGCATAAACCAGGCATGCAACTTTTCCTCGGATCAGCTGATTTCCTCTTTTTTCACTTCCCATGTGTGTCATTGAAAATAGAAAAACACTGTACAAAGTCTTGGAAAGATTTGAATTTCCTCTTTTTTTGTGACTTCCCAGTTACATGCCTGATAAACAAGTCAGGACCCTGAATCCCATATGCTCATATGCAGGAATAAGAATTAGGGACACTCTAGGATTTTTCTCAGGCACTACAATAAAGAGCTGTGTGAAGTGGTAGTGGAGCCCTTCAAACAATAAATAATGTAAAAGAATGAGATGATTTATTTAATGGATCACTTTAGGAATAGCTCACAATGCCTCATTCCTCTCCCCTCCCCCTCCCCCTCCCCCAGAAAGTAATAAGTAATACACAGTAAAATTAGATTCATCACAAATAAATGAGACAACCACTGGAATTCTACATTTCATAAAATTGTTTTTATTTACATGTACATGCAATGTGCACTTAGCCTCAAGATACTGCTAGTATTTAGGACTAGTATTAACCATTGCATTTTGGTGGAATCCACTTGCCTTCCATATTTTAGCAAAGACATTGCTGCTTTACCATTTGGCCTTTTGGCCAATAATTCATTCAGCTTCCCAATCGACAGGAAGCTGTTAGTGTGGGCCCTGATACCCTTTGACCTCATAAAAACTGTCGGATATGCATTGTAGCATTGTTTCAACTGATGTTTTAACGCCATGCGGTTGAAAGATTCTTTAATTGAGCAGTTTATTTGTTTGTTTTAGTGTACTTTTTTAAATACAGGTGTTTGTTTAAGTTGTTTAGGATACAAATACTCGGAGTGGCTCAGAGTAGAATGGGAGGAACATTAATCGCACGGTAAAATCTGGACTTTTTTGCCAAGTGAAATGGAAAAGTCCAAATTTTACCGAGCGATAATATTCCTCCCATTTCACATTTTAAAGCCACTTATATTTGTTTTATATAACTGACATATAGATCCTTGTCATTTGATTTACAGTTAAAATGAACTTCTGCTCAATACCAAATTGGTGGGAAATGTATTTCTCTCTTCCAAACCACCCCTTCACGAAATGTTTGAACCCAACTCTGTAGCTACTGGCTCTTGGGAACAGTACGTGCTACGCTCATCGCGCACACCAGCATGCATTTGCACACAAATACCGCGCCACGAAACAAGGATGATCCTAACTGTTGAATTGTAAATCCCCGCGAATGGGACTTTTTGAGCCCCGGTGTAAATGGGAGCATTAACGAATGTCACGTGATGTGAGTTCCACCAATCAAATGACAAGAATCTGTGTACGTGTCAGTTATATAATCTGTTTTATAACTACTCACCAAGCCAAGTTCTCAATGTGGCATATCTTGTTTTGTTGCCTGGGGAAAGGGAAGCTATTATTTTGCAGGCAGTATGCACTATGCAGTCCTTGAATGCTAGTATTGCCGGCTGGAAATGGATAGAGAAGAAAGAGAAACCAAAAGTTAAAATGACACCAGACGTCAGAAAAAGAGCTGGTTTTAAAAAGGTGACATTATTGCAGCTGCTGTTGATGGAGCATAATAGCTTGTAATTTTGGCCTTTTTCCTCAAACACCTGGTTTTTTTAGTGGTAATCAGGGTGGCTTGATAGTTTTGCTGATAAGGGACGTGTATCTTGAGTGGCAGGTTGGCTACAGTCACGGTTGTCATTGGGCCACACAGAAAAGAGGAAACAGAGTAGTAAATCATTTACATTTCAGTTTCTGTTTTGATGATTTCTTGTAATGGTTGATTTTTTCGTTGCAATCAAATGTTCCCCAACTCCAGACAGCAATTACAGCAGACTTTGTGTTCTTAACCCCCCCCCCCCCCCCCCCCCGAAAAAAGGGAGCGAGAGTTAAAATCCCTTTCATTTACAGGAATGAATGTGATTGCCGAAAAATAAAAATTACAAGATAGGTTAAAAAAAAATAGGTAGTTAACATTTTCAGTCAATACATGTCAAATATCAATTCAAATGCTGTCAGGATATTCAACAAGCAAAAGACATAATACAAACAAGTTTCATACATGCATATGTTTAAAGGGAATATACATCATTGGCTTTTGCTGCAATTTTCAGAAATGAACTATTTGAGGTGTTAGTATAATAGATCAAATATTGTTTAACTGACATGTTTGAAGTTTTGTGTTCGAAAATGCTTGAAAAACCGAGAAAAACAAAAATGTTTAAGTAGTCTGGTTCCCTGACTCCACTAAAGATAAAATGGATCAATTGATAGATGTCAGAAAATTGTAAGGTAAGGGAACCAGTCTAGCTGGCCTGCACCCGTTCATGAACATGTAACCAATAGCAAACAAAATTTTGACTGAAAAAACTTTGTAAATTTGGAGCAGTAGTTGAAAAATAGTTAGGTTTTTCCAACGGTGGTCGGCCGACCACCTTTGGAAATGTATACAAAAATACAATTTTCTTGAAAATGACTCGACACCAGGTGCCATAATTTTAAAGGATGCTTTAGGCTGGCATTTACCAACATCCTAGTAAGGTATTTCGTAAAAACTTGGTAGTTTTATTTTTTGATGTTTGCAAATGTTGTATATTCCCTTTAATTGTTGAGGTTTTTTTTAAGGGCAATGTGCTCTTGCACCTTCTGAATATGCTCACAAGCCTTAGCTATGTTGACACTCATCATCAGCGCTGCCAATCAGATTCTCTGTTTAGACTCTGTGATGTTTTCCGAAGCACTTTATGTTCAGGTTGAAATTACAGGGTCACTTTTCAGGATGGCACGGTGTGCTGCCATTTTATTTGGTAGGCCAATTTTGGGTCAGCTTGTGTAAAGAGAAATCTGATTGATCAGAAATTATGTCAGTCTATATTTGGAATTGTTCAACGATAATTAATCTCGCAAGGTCAAAACTGGAAAGATATGGACTCCCGGTTTTACCAGGGTATCGTCTTACGACATCCTCGAGTAAGGCTACCCTGGCTAGCGACTGAGGAATCCGACTGGAAGCTTCTGATGGAAGCCCTCGATCATTTTCACAAATTGGTTTTTGGATCAACAAAACCAGAAAATGCCACTGAATAAACAACGGACCCATTGATTAATCCAGTAACCAGAAAATCGCTGCAGGCCTTTAGTTTAACTATGAAAGTTATCCATTAACGTATTTTTTTTCACATTTGGCTGTGCCCTAGCTACAAATGTTCCATGTACTTAAATGTACAACATTTGCTTTTGCTACAATTTTCAGAAATAAATGAATTTTGAGGAACAGTATGTTATAGCAAATATTGTTAAAATGACTTGTTTCATGTTTTGGGCTTGTAGATGCTGGGAAGAAAAATCATGTTCTTGTATTCTGGTTCCCTGACCCCACTTAAGATGAATGGGAGCAATTTATAGACTTTGGGGAATTCAAAAGGTCAGAGAATCAGTCTAGAAGGGTTGTACTCCTTCACAGGTGTGTAATCAATTGCAAAGAAAATGCGGAATAACTAATTAGGAAAAATTAGGAGCAGTTTTTGAAAAAAAGCCAGTTTTCTCCAACGCTGGTCGGCCGACCATTGTTGGAAAAATACCATTTTTCTTGAAAATGTCAGCACACCAGGAGCCACGATTTTACAGGATGCTTTAGACTGTCATTCCCTAACAATCCAGTAAGGTATTTTGCGATAATTTGATCATTTCGTTTTGTGATGTTTGCAAGTCTTGTATCTTCCCTTTAAACAGTGACTACATGTAGCTGCTTTCAAAAATTGTCGTCCATCGTGTTTGCATACTCGTACATGTGTTGTTCTATATTATTATATCACTTTTGCCCTGAGGGCAAGCGTTTTGTGAAACAAAAATCAAAAGAATTTGTAACAATGGTCACTGAGAATTTTCACCTTACTCGCAGGTGCATTAGAGCTTTTTCATAATTAAAGTGCATTAGGGGAATTTAATGATTCATCAGTTGAATGTGTTTTTTTATAAAACATTTTCTACCTGCCAGGAAATTTAATTTTGTTGGTTTGAATATATACAGAGTCACAGCAAAAAACCAAGTCCAAATTAAAAGAAAGCTGCAGTATCGAAAAACATTGTTGATTTGAAATACTTCATGACCCTCCTATGCAAACATATATTCTGTGCCAATTGTCCTTTCAGTCAAAATCAATCAAGTGACTGTTTTCAGCAGTTAATTAAGAGCACCCAGCCTACATAAAGCAGGATTGCCTGACTGTGACAGTTTAAGTAACTTGATGCATCTATGCTTTGACTGCAGGCGAGCCTACTTCCTGACTGCTTTTGTCTGTTGACTGAGTTTGGGTAGTCAGAGTGCTTGCCTTAAAATATGATCTGACTGTTATTGACCAGCCTGAGTAAAAGGCATATGGCAGTGGAAAGGAGTTATTTGTTTGACTGTCTGTGACTGTTTAAACAGCAGAATGGTTAATTCTTGTTTGGCACATCACTATCACTGAGAAAAACCCAATATACATGTACGTTCCTTTGCACATTGTCGCAATCAACTCCATTGTGCATCAGTTACAAAAAACCTAAAAGTGATCAACACTGATTCTGGTTTTGGTATAACCATGGAGCTAACGGCAGTCAATTAATTCTTGTTTGGTACATGAATAATTTGTGTTTACTTCACACAAACTGTTCGACAAGCTTTCCTTCAGTGTAGCATGTACATTGTACTTAAACTAGTTGTAGCGGTAATAAGCAAGTTTTAGCACAATTGCAAAGAAGAACTAATTTGAAGAACTCACCACCAAAATACGTCGGAGGTTACAACATCACAAACCCAATTCAGCAAACTATACTGTGCTGTGCAATGGTCTTCCTGCTCTACTGTACACCACTCCCAGCCACAATTGTTATGTTGAACAGGCCAGTGATTTCTCTCTTTCACTGCACTTTTTTGGCTGCCATTCTTGCCATTTCAAAGCTTTTGTCAGGAGTACAAAACCTCCACACAATGCAGCCGGCTCATGGGTCCCAGTTGACTCCACTGAAGCATAAACCACAGTTGGAAAAACATACCTAGTACAGTTGGCATGTGTGTAACAGGATGATGATTCTGGTTTTGCTAAATCAGTCATTTCACAATCAACACCAGGCACTAATTACTCCTGGCCAGCAGAAACACAGAAGGTGATTTTGGTGCAGGCTAATCGATGGTATTCAGAATGATTCACAATACTCTTCATCAGGAATCCTTTTTTTTTTAAGCCCATCCCAAGCACAAATCTCATCAATCAGGATTTTCTCGCCTGGACAGTTGTCTGCAGTTCTTCGTTATTTCTCAGGGCATTTCCTTAATGATTGCCAGGACTACACAGCACAGACCCTCTGGCAGTTATGCAACCTGTTAACAACCTGCTGATGGTCATTTAGATATCAGAGTTTATTTTCATCGGGCTCGTTTGGGGCCTGATACAAATTGGTATAAATGGGGAACAACTACTGTCCAGTTATTATATTCAGCCAAGTAATCACTCAACCAAATCCATTTGTAAGTAAACAAAATGATTCAGTTGTTTGAAATTCGAAATGCACAAATAAAGAACAATATGCTCATTTCCCTTCTTATGTTGCTGTAAGCACTGCTTAAATTCTGTACATAAAATTGCTTGATTGTCTTCAGTAATTTCTCCAATTTCTCATGAAGAAATTATTGATCACTTTTTGAAAGTATCATCGATTGCCTTTTTATTTTAATGTCGTCTGAATAAGGGAATAAATGTGTGCTCCGGAGGTTTTTATCACTCTGTTTAAGACCACTTAGAGTCTGGGTGCTGATAATTACCCGAGCCGGAGGCGATGGTAATTATCAGCACCCAGACTCTAAGTGGTCTTAAACAGAGTGATAAATACCGACGGAGCACATATTTATTCCCATTCATATATACCTTTTCGGTAAAAAAAATCATATAATTCGTTGAAAACATCCCGATTTTGTTCAACAAATTCACTTTATGCTTTTTGAAACATCCCTCTTGCAAAATAATGGAGTGTTCAGCTGGCGAGTAAGATGTAAACAACCCTTTTATGGAGATTGACGCGCGCGTATCATGTTCTGCGCGATGTCGCGCAGAACGCACCTGGCGCGTTGCGTTTTGAATTTAGAACTATAAAATTCTGACTCCCTGGTAGTGTTGCGCATGCCTACTACGTGAGGATTGTGAACGTTCAACCAATGAAACAATAAGAGGCACTGGATTTTTAGGAGTCCACATTTTATTGTGACACTGGAAAAGTGTTTAAGACCAGCTAGCCATGTCTTTATCATCCGTTTAAGACCGGCCACGTGACGGGCTCTCGACCAATAGGAATGCGTAAACTGTCTTAGGTATTTATGAATATTCAATATTCTGTGTGAAGCACAATTGTATTTTGTTATTCCTACTTCGTTATAAAAAAACCAAACATTTAGTGAATTTTTTTGGGTAATTTTAATCTCAGTTGAATTAATTTCTTTCATCTGAGGTTTATTCAATAAATGTTCATACCGGTACATGTATTCAGTTTTTGAATGGTATGATTCATAAGATACAAATGATTCAAAAGTGATTTTGGCTTTCAGTACCATTGTGACAAAGATTTCATTGCATCCATTCACTTTTTATGTTTTCACAAATGTTCCATTTGCTCTCATTTTTGTTTGAAAAAAATAAATCTGCTCATTAGTTTGTTTTGTTTTGTCTCCCCCTTCCACCCCCCCCCCCCCCCCCCTCTTCAATTTCTTCATCAATCGTTTTATGGGGCCATTTTGAGTGCCATAATATCCCAAACAATTTTAGGGACAAAAAAATCAAATCAAATCCATTTTTTTTATGAGAAAATAGAAAATGATTACAAAAGATAAAGACATCATACACGTAGTTTATCGTCAAACCTTTTTCTTGTCCATTATCTAAGAACACAGAAAAAAAATCTGTCTTCAAAATTCAGTCATTGACAACTATTTCTGTTTTTGCGGTTTCAAAGAATGAGCGATGTTGCCAAACATATGGGCCTGTCCGTGATTTATTGACTTTCACTGCCTCTGTGTTAGCTGGATGAATTGATCAAGAGGTCCAAAGTCTCCTCAGCGACCAAAAAGGCATTCCACTCAGAATTGATAAAAAGAGAGTAACTGGCTGTACATTTGTATGACAATTATGAAGAAGTGGCATGCGACATTACTTATTGTTATTTGATTGAGCTCATACCAGATTATACCTGAAAAAAATACTAATCCACATTGTTACCTGAATTTCTTTTCTTTTGCCTTACATTTATCCCGATGTGAATTGTTTTCGTTTTGCTGAAAGAACACTTACCTTGTTTGTGATCCGTGGACAGAACTGTAAAACGGCGGTTGTGTTTAAAATTCCGTAACTTGAACAGTGCATTTGTGATTCTTGTACTAAATCTAGAAAGCTTATGAATTGGGCTTTCACATCCTAGATTTTGAAAGTGCTACATGTAGAACTAAACAAAAATGGTTCCGACATTTGGGTTTCTGTTTTTCTTTTTTGACTCACCGTGTATGTTGTAAAGATCCAATGTCAGAAATACATATTTTTCAAAAGTGAATTTACCACTCAAAAAATTTGTCAGCTTTAATTGTATGGCGGAGCAAGCAGCCGAATCACTAAATCGCGCTTTTAATTTTAAATGCACATAAATTTGGAATTACAAAAGCCAGACAGGCCCTCTGGCAATCCTGGCAAAATTAAGGCAGAAAATATGTGCGCAAAGCTGAATTTTATTGATTCAATTTTGTATTGCATTTTTGGCTCTTTAATGAAGGTTAATTGGCATTGTACACTGTGGATGTTTGGCCCTTTAAACCCTTAGGTAACCTTAAAGGGAAAATACAACATTTGCAAACATCAAAAAATAAAACTACCAAATCATTTTGAAATACCTTGCTGGACTGTTAGTGAATGACAGTGTAAAGCATCCTGTAAAATCATGGCACCTGGTATACTGTCATTTTCAAGAAAAGTGGTATTTTTGTATCAATATCCAACGCTGATCGGCCGATCAGCGTTGGAAAAAACTGGCTTTTTTTTCAAATACTGTCCCCAATTGACCATCGCACTTGTTTGCAATCGATTACAAACCTATGAACGGGTACGAGCCAGCTAGACTGGTTCCCTGACCTTACAATTCCCCAATGTATGTAAACTGCTCTGTTTCTTCTTATATGGAGTCAGGGAACCAGACTACAGGAAAATGATTGTTTTTCTTGGTTTTTATAGCATTTTCGAACCCAAAACCTCAAAAAAGTCAGTGTAACTATATTTGCTATATATTTCTAACCCCCCAATTCCATCCATTTCTGAAAATTACAGCAAAAGCAAATGATGTATATTCCCTTTAAACCCTTTAATAGGTAACCTTAAGTAGACTAAAGCACTTTTATTACATACCATAACAACATTAAAAAAACTTGATATGAAGTGGTCGTTGCTGGCCTGAAAATACGTTTATAACGGTCCATTTGCCAGTGTCAGATCCATCTGACTGGCATTGTGTTCGCTTTATATGGTAGGCTTGGCTGATATTTTAACATTAAAAATGCATGTACCATACATCCAGAGCAGTGCTGCTAATTCCAGCATCTATTAAATATTGCAGAGCTGTCAATAAGGGAGGCATGGTAATGGTACATTCAAGGTCATAGTTCATTGGTAAAACAAAAAAATGGGAAATTTTTTTCGTCAAGAGGTTAACAATAACATGGGGTCAGTGTACTCCAGCTCGGACAGGCAGTAACTCTTGTATCATAAATAGCCTTGTTTTGAATTGTATGATTTGTTTCCACTTTTCCAAATTTACTCTTTTTTTGCATCATTAATATTTCTTCTGAAGTTACTTGCGTTGGTTATTGTTATAAATACACATATTTTTGACTTTCAATATCAGGTTTTGCCCCTCACCGACGTATAAACACTGTATACTCAGTGTGTTACCAGCCGAGTGAAAGTGATAAGAAAAACAATTCCGTCTTATGAATAGTTTCATTGCGATCCCGGCAAGCTCGGTGGTAAGACGTCTACACTGGAAAGCAGGAGGTCGTGGGTTCGAGTCCCACCTGATTGATTTTCTCACTTTCACTAGGGGGTAACACACTGAGTATACAGTGTTTATACGTCAGTGAAGGGCAAAACCCAATCATGCTAATGTTGAGTTTACATAACCCTGACACAATTTCCATATTATGAATAGTGATATTTGACTTTAATAGTCGAAAAAAAACTTCAAACATATTACTATAACTTCTTGTCAAGATTTTAATTTCCCACTTCTTTTAACATATTCAAATATCAAGCAAAAAATAACAACAGATTAACTTTAACTTTATTTCTTTAACTTGCTTCTTTTTTTTTCTTGTTTGTAATCACCACCTTGAGTAGCCCTTGGCAATTGGCAGTTGGTATAAAATAGGAGAACATATCTTGCCAGTCACTGACTTACCTTCTTACCTGGCATATTTTCCCTCAGATGTTGTCCAAGGAGCCTTCTTGGGCCAGCTGGTGGAGGGAGTCTGCGCCCTTCTGCAGTCCAAGGCCAGGGAGGTCCTCAGCCCCACACTCGGCTTCGTCAAGGTGCTTGTTACCATCTTGGAAGATGTGACGTTGGCTCAATATGTTGAGCAGTTGGTGAGTGGAAAGACCCTAAAAATCCCCCTCCGTCATTGTGCAGCACTTCTCTTTCATCTCCATCCCATTTTCATCAGTGTTTCAACTCGACCATTACCATTAAAGCTACAGTCCATCATTTGCAGCTATCCAAAAAGTAACTGACGTAATTATTGTTGAAAAACATACTTGGTGGAAAGATTGTAAGGGAACTAAACTCCCTGTGAAATTATTCTTTCTGGCATGCCGTCATTTTGAAGAAATCAACGAAAGAAGGCCTTTCCAATGATGCGTCTTTAGAAGCATCGTTTGAAATTTCCGTTAGTAGTTCGTTTTTTTATTTGGCGTTGCGCGCGCAGGCGTTAACAACAAGCACGAATGCGTGGTTGTTATAATTCGTCAGATAAGTGCGCGACATCGCGTAGCTGCAATCAGCTCAGTGAGAACGTTTCTCGGACGCTGAATTCAGGCCCAATTCGAAACATGATTCAGCAACTTGTGATTTGAAATCAAGATCCTAGAATGTTGTTTTTCTTGAAATATACAGCTGAAGCTGAGCTGAAAGTTCATCAGGTTAGTTGTTCAGCACGCTGCTTTAGATTTTGAGCACTTCTGTTGCTTCAAATGAACAAAATGCACAAATTACAAGCGATGGATTGTACCTTTAAAGTTCTCATCACATTTTCTCAGTATACTCAACAACTGATGAGGTTCCATTTCCATCCGCCATCCCCATCACTATCATCATTACGTGTTCTCATCAAATTATCCTCATCTGCATTACTCTCTGCTCTCTCAATCTTCATTCTCCATTATCATCATCATCATCATCGTTCCCCCCCCCCCCCCATCATCATCATCATTATCGACGACGACATTATCCTTGCTTTCTCTTTATTTTCACTTATCCCACATCCCATTATCACAATGGACAGTGTTTTCGTCTAGGCCTCACATGAATGAGTATACAGTGAATTGTTGTAAGATCTGCACCATGTCCATTGTGAATTGGAAAAGACAATACATATACTTTGGCTTTAAACAAAAAATGGCTTGTTTTCATTATTAACGCAGAGTGGGAAAAAAAGAACTATTTTTTTTGTCCGGGTTTTTTTTTATCTTTCTTTTTCCCCAAGATGGCTGATTTTCCAAGATGGCTGATTTTTCAGGATAGTTTCCATTTTCTCGCCTCATTTGCTGATACAAAATTGTGTTCAAAGGAGCTGTAATCCTTTTGACTTGGCTAAAATTTTGTTGGAAACAAATAAAAAGACAATACATTGACAGTACATCGTATGCAAAATATGTTGCAAATGTATGAATTTAGAAGAAGATAAAAGAGGCGGGCAAGAAAAAGGAAGTGGGCGGGCACGAGAAACTGGATTATTTATTTAGTTGGCCTAAAGTATCAATTTGAATATTCAGGGCCTTCTTGGCAATGGTCTTGTGCATTTCTCCTCCCTCCTCCAGTTTGCAAATTACTATTGAGCATAGTTTCCTTTACATACAGGGTGAGTAAAAAAAAAAAAAAACCACATCGGACCATTGTTTTAGTGAAGTTCTGCATGCATCACTTTCAAAATCTAGGATTATGAAAGCCCAATTCATAAGCTTTCTTTTTGTACAAGAATCATTCAAATCACGCATGTACTTTTCAAGTTACGGAGTTTTAAACACAACCACCGTTTTAAAGCTCTGTCCACGGATCACAAAAAGGTGTGTGTTCTTCCAGCAAAACGAAAACAATTCGCACACATCCTTATGTGATTCATTTTCGATTTGCTGAAAGAACACTGAACTTTTTTGTGATCCGTGGACAGAACCTCAAAACGGTGGTTGTGTTTAAACTCCATAACTTGAAAAGTACATGCGTATTTTGAATGATTCTTGTACTAAAAGAAAGCTCATGAATTGGGCTTTCAGATCCAAGATTTTGAAAGTGCTGCATGCAGAACTTCACTAAAACAATGGTCCTGACATTTGGGTTTCGTTTTTTTTACTCACCCTGTATAGAAAAAAAGACTTAAGGTATATTCATCCTTTTTTCCCAGCCCCAATATGTTCTCATAGAACACTGTGAAGTATGTATTTCAGGATTTTAAATACATGCTTTGGGTTTCGTCCTTCAACAAGGCAGTTTTTTAGGCAATATATTCTCATTGGTGTCAAAGAGCTAGCAGAAAAAAATCATCACCTCCCTTGGGAGCGAGATGAACCCATTACCTCCTGTGCAGACTAAAATTGACATCTTGAAAGAAAAAAAACCCAAAAGGCACTAAAGTTATGAGTGTTGACAGAAAAAAAGATTTTTTGGGCTAAGTGGGTCATCATAAAATTTGTGGTCTACTTTTTTCCTATCCCTGTGAACATTACTAACACATTGTCATAAAAGTTGGTATCTAAAAATGTCTGTGCAAAACCCCCTATAACGGGAGTTTGTGTAGAAAATATCAGACAGTTATTTAGTACTCCCCATCACGCTCAATTAACTTCGGCAGCGACCACAAGCCCCATTTTAAAGAATAAGTTAAGACAGGATCAAGGAACCAACTTTTACGACAACGTGCTAGTAATGCCGTACAATGCCGGCAGAACACAAATTTTTGGGGGGCGGGGCGGGGGGGGGGGATTTTTGTTCCCAAATAAACCAAAAATGCCGCCCAAATTTTAATATGAAAAGCTAGAAAGGTTCAAATATATTGCTTTTGTTGAGTTTTGTGGGTGGTGTACGCAGTGTGAATATTCAAGAATAAAACTCGATTGGCTAGACCCACACAGAGTGCAAATAACTAACGTCATTATAGCAGCGATTATAACAGCGATATCCAACTGGCACGACTAGAACGACAGATGGCGCAATTTATTTGCATTTGATTGTGCACAGCGAGAATTTCTACGCGAGACGATTAGCATGAAAAGTGCCCCCACAACTTTTTTTTGAAAAAAGGAGACCTTTGGCTTACAAAAACGGTGGAATCGTGTGAATATAGCCGAAGATCAATTAACTCCCAGGTTTTGGGGCTTCCATCTGAGGGCAGAATTGATAAAATTACGGTTGAAAAATGGTCCTATTTGTTTGAAAAAGTGAAGGGATGCCATGGCTGCACGCAGGCTTGGGTCTTGGCCGAATACATCTGACATCTATTATTTGATAATTCTGATGCCCTCCTTAAAGGGACTGTACAACATTTGCTTTTGCTGCAATTTTCAGAAATAAATGAATTAGGAAGATCAGTATGTTATAACAAATATTGCTAAAATAACTTGTTTTACGTTTTGGGCTCGTAGATGTTGGAAAAACCAGGAAAACCAATCATAATCTTGTAGTCTGGTTCCCCGACCCCACTAAAGATAAATCGGAGCAATTTATATATTTTGAGGAATTGTAAGGTCAGAGAATCAGTCTAGAGGGCTTTTACCCCTTCACAGGTGTGTAATCAACTGCAAATAAAATGCGGAATAACTAATTAGGAAGAATTAAGAGCAGTTTTTAAAGAAAAAGCCAGTTTTCTCCAACACTGGTCGGCAGATCAGTCTAGAGGGCTTTTACCCCTTCACAGGTGTGTAATCAACTGCAAATAAAATGCGGAATAACTAATTAGGAAGAATTAAGAGCAGTTTTTAAAGAAAAAGCCAGTTTTCTCCAACGCTGGTCGGCCGACCAGCGTTGGAAAAATACCAGTTTTTCTTGAAAATGTCAGCACGCCAGGAGCCACGATTTTACAGGATGCTTCAGACTGTCATTCCCTAACAATCTAGTTAGGTATTACGTTATAATTTGATCATTTCGTTTTGTGATGTTTGTAAATGTTGTATCTTCCCTTTAATGCAGTCATCCTCCAAAGAGTGATTATAAATAGCGAACTCCCTGCCAACAAGTAAAAATCATTTGAAATCACTCTGAATGATACTGGAATGGCAAATTACAAAGTACAAAGGTAAACTGGGACAGGACAAATGTCATACTTTGGACCCTGAATGTATAGAACGACCCAAGTGAAAGATCATGGGCGTCGCCAGGATTTTTTCCAGGGGGGGGAGGACAAAGCAAATTTTTCCCCAAAATTCCTGAACTTGTTCATTATATTCTCAATTTATAGGTTTTCTGAGCGTGAGCAGGGGAGTATTTGCCCCCCCCCCCCTTCAAATTAACAGCAATATGGCTTCGCACCTCTTTTTCTTTTTTGTTTCCCCCCCCCCCTTTTTTTTTCTTTTTCGGGGGTCGGGGGGGGGGGGGCAAGCGCCCCCCTTTGCCGCCCCCCCCCCCCCCCCGCCCCCCCACTCGCGATGCCCAAGTGAAAGATGGTATCTCACCATCACAACTTGCAATTTTGTAACAGCGGATTAATTCCTTTGTTTCTTTATACAGCTAATGAACATTGGAAGAATGGGTAACACCAACCGGAGAAACTTGCGCGTTCCGATTCGCTCGATCTACACCAGGTTTATCAGGAAGTTTGGGTGAGTTGATGAAATTGTTTAAAGGAACTAGAAATCCTGAATTGGCAAAGGGAATTCAAATAAGTTGTTTTTTAAGTGCTGAAAGAATACATTACTGTTTTTTCTTAAATACACTTAAAAAATGAGTTTGAATTTATTTTAAAGTTTATTGACACTGACATGAATTTCAGGCTTAAAATATAAAAGAAAGGTTGAAAAGTGGACTGCAACTACAGCATATCAATACTAGGTTGACGGAATCAATTTTTGCCTCGCCTAGACTTAGTTCAGGAAAGAGACTGCAATCTCTATGTCTGTACCAGTATAGGTACATCTGAGGTCAAGTTGTAAAATAGGGGGAAAATGTAAAATTGTCTCATTTGAAAAGTTGAAGTCCAATTGGACCCAAACTTGGGTCATAGATGTAAAATTGCAACCTTCATATGATCATGATGTCAAAGGTCACATACCAAGGTCAAAGGTCATCTGAGGTCAAGTTGTAAAATAGGCAGAAATTGTAACTGGTCTCATTTGAAAAGTTGAAGTCCAGTTGAACCGAACTTGGGTCATAGATGCAACATTGCAACCTTCATATATGATCATGATGTCAAAGGTCACACATCAAGATCAAAGGTCACTCTTGAAAGATATTAAAGCAGGCGAGACGCTCGGTTTGAGAACCGCCTTGTTTTTACATACCGTAACATGTAAAAGTATGCATACCTGTCGATCAAATAAAGCTTTTTCTACTTCAATCAAAAGTCAAGAAATAAAATGGTCATATAAAGTGTAAGATTATATTTTTCTGCACCCATTGCTTGTGTTCAGCTTATACTGCCTCTTCAATGTTGAATACATACTTTGGAATAATAACAATCTGTCAACACAAATAAATAACTGCACAAGATGGAATTTAGGGAGGCCTTAGGTTTTCACATTTTAAATTGGGTGACAGATATTATAGAGAGCTAGTAGTTTTTTTCTCACCATATCTAATGTACAAGCGGGTACTGAAATCACTTTGTCCTATATCCTGACAAATGAGGGCGCTGTTTACATGAGACAGTCAGAGCCGTATATAGAGAGATTTGCGACAACTTCAGACTGTTGAACCATAATGGCCATTCATTATGTGTACAATGCAGCGTGCGACTATTTTGTACGAAATATAAATGTGCACTGATGCATAATCCGCCATTTTGGTTCTAAACAGTGCCACCCTTACATGTACGTCACATCACTCTCTATATACCACTCTGGAGACAGCGAATCAGATCAGCCAACCATTATAGTTGTGGGGAACAGATTATAAATACATTGTTATCAAGACTAGCTGAAAAAACACTTATTTCACACACACAAAAACTTTAATACAATTCTCGAGATGCAGTATAATTTAGAGACTTTTAATAAAATGTGCAGCTTGCCTCATTAGGCAATAGGCATGTATGCCTGTCGGATCAAGATAATTGACACTGATTATAGGAGATACCTGTTTCTCATCAGAGATTATCTAGGGGCAATTCCATGCAGCATCACAAATAATACAATTTAGACAAATGAGACAACTGTTTGTACTTTAGGAGCTCATTGAATAAACAAGTAAATTATAGTTTGTTAAATACAAAGTTTGTGACATTATCCATGATATCTGGGTAATGATTCGAAGAAATGATCCAAAACTCGTAGTCTGTAATCTCCTTGACCATATTGCTGGATTATGGATGTATAAGATTTGATTTCAGGTTTATTCACTGAGCTCCTAAACTATACAAACACTCCCACACCCCTACACCCCCCACATGCCCCCACACACCCCTACACCCCCACGCCCATGCCCCCACACCACACCACTCCTGCCCCCACACGCCCCCACACCCCCCCCCCCCCCCCCCCACACCCCCCTCGCCCCTACACCCCCATAATCCCCCCCACGCCCCCACAACCCCCCACAACCCCCACCCCACGCCACCCCCTCAATCCCCACGCCCCCCTCCCACGCCCCCTCCCACGCCCCCCTCCCACGCCCCCCTCCCACGCCCCCCTCCCACGCCCCCTCGCCCTCCTACGCCACCACACCCATTGCATTTCCCAACTCGTCATACACAAGTTCATGCATGTCAGAGTTTTTGTCATATGCCTGGTTGTAAAATCACAGTTGTGATTGGTCCAAAATTTATTGGGCGGAGCCTAACAGATCGGTCCATTGACCAAGATAAAGAAATGTTAACATATGTTAATGATTTAGATGACAACCGTTATGTATATATTTGTATTGTTACAGTATTCTAATTCCATTTGATTAACCTCAATCAGATATGAGATGATCTACAAGCTGGTTCCGGAAGACCACAAGAAGATGGTGCACAACATCCAGAAGAGGCAGGAGAGGACCAAGCGACACAAGGCTATGAAGGAGAGGGAGGCATCAGACGAAGATGAGGATGGAGAGGATGAAACCCCAGCCCTGGTGCCTAGCAAACCCAAACCAGAGACGTGAGAACCTGATTAGTTTTTTTTTTTTTTCAATTTCCAATCCTCAGCTTTGCCTGCATCACTGGCGAAATGATAAAATTATAATGAAATACCTATTTGAATTATTAAGAAATGACAGTCTAAAACATCCTGTAAAACTGTGGCTCCTGGTGTGCCGACATTTTCAAGAAAAACTTCTTTTTTTTCCAACTCTGGTCGGCCGACCAGCGTTGGAGAAAACTGGCTGTCTACAAAAACTGCTCCTAATTTTTCATATTTAGTTACTCTGCATTTTCTTTGCAATTGATTGCACACCTGTGAAGGGTTACAGGCCTGCTAGACTGATTCTTTGACCTATCAATTCCCCAAAGTCTATAAATTGCCATGTTTTATCTTAAGTGAGGTCAGGGAACCAGACTACAAGAATATGATTGGTTTTCTTGGTTTTTCCAGCATATTCAAGCCCAAAACATGAAACTTGTCAGTGAAACAATATTTGCTATAAAGTACTAATTTCCAAATCTATTTATTTCTGAAAATTGCAGGAAAAGTAAAATGTTGTAAATTCCCTTTAACCTATTAGCACCTGTGCTGTTTCGTATTACATAGAGCTTATTCACTGGTGAATTATTTCACTAGTTTTGAAGTAAATTTTGACAGTTTTTTATTCAGTAGGCATGCCACTTTCCTCGGATCAGCTGATTCCTTCTTCTTTTACCTCTTTTGTATGTCATTAAAATTGTGAAAACACTGAAGAAAATATCACAAAGCTTTGCATTTTCTCTTTTTTTTGTGACTTCTCAGTTTCGTGGCTGATTCAAAAGGAAAACATGAATTTAGTTTATTTTGTCTATTTGTAGGAATTTCTGTATACCATAAAATGAAATGGCATCTTAAGATTTTTCCCGCAGGTTATTTTTCTCATTTCATTTTGGTTGCACAGTATTGACGAGCTACTGCAGGACTCGGAGTCCGAGACCGACGACGAGGAGGATGAGAAGGCCAAGGGCAAAGGTCAAAAGGTCAAGGGTCGAAAGACCAAGAAGCAGCTGGCCAGTAAGCAAGGGGCGGCCTGGTTGAAGGAAGGACAGCAAGAAGACACCCCTCTAGATTTCCTGGATCCCAGCGTCTCCAAGAGAGTACTGGGTGAGTACTCATCTTCATGATTTCATGAAAAATAACCTCGGGCCAATTTCATGGCGTTGCTTAACAGTTAGCAGAAAAAAGTGTGTGTATGCCGTGGGTGGAGATCCCTACTGACAATAAACTACCATTAAATTTGGACAATAAATAACATTTACAAATGTACAAGCAAAACAAGTTAGAAGTACACATACATGTATGTTTAAAAAATACAGGCCAAAATACAGGCATGCAACTTTTCCTCGGATATGCTGATTTCCTCGTTTTTTACTTCCATTACAAACTGAAAAACGCTGTACAAAGTCTTGTGTGGTTTGGAATGTCCTCATTTTTTCCCTAAATTCTCAGTTGCATGCCTGAAAATACAAACAATACATAAGTAGTACCCAAGCAATACGCAAGCAAAACACAAGCAACCCCACGAGAAATATCAGTGGTTTTACTCACCTACTTAGTGAATAAATTGGTTGTTAATTTGTGTTTGTAGAGGGAAATGCTATGTTCATATTTTTAAAGACATGTCAGGCGCGGATCCAAGGGGGGGAGGGTAAAAAAAAAACCTGCTCTGTCAAAACAATTTTTTTAATAGAATTTCATTAAAAATAATGTGAACCCCCCCCCCCCCTTCCTGCTCTGACACCCAAAAATAAATTATACTGGTAATAAAGTCCTCCCATGCACAAAATATGGACAGAGGCAGCTTGGTTAGGGGGTATTTGTACACTATTCTGTAAAATACTGTTAATAATTCACAGATTTGAACAGCGCCCACCCCCCTATTGATTTTCGGAAGCCAAGTGTCTGGAGAAAAAAAACCTGTTTACATTCCAGAATTTTTTGCTGATGAAAACCCCCTCCTGCACAAGTTCCTGGATCCGCCCCTACATGTCTAAAAAAATATACCCCTTGTTGCCATACAAAATGGCATGTACTACATCACACACTACAACAATTATATAATATTGGATGGCTATGAGGTGGATACAAGAATATATTGCACGAGCTATGACACTATTGCACAAGTCGAAGACGAGTGCAATATTGTCATAGCGAGTGCAATACATTCTTGTATCCGCCGAAAACAAGCCATCCAATATTATTATTATTATTTATATCAGGCTGACTTGATCCGCAGGAAGCACAACTCAAGACACTGTCTTCATTACATCTTTTTTCGTTTTCATCAAACGTTTTGAAGCTGCCACTGTAATTTTTGACAACAGTGCGCGTATACCTGGCCTTCTGCGCGCTGCATGCGCGCGGCGTGTTCCGTCCGTGTTTGACGGTACGCAAGGGCTTCACTCTGTTGAGTGGTTGACAACTGTGACTTTCTATGCTCTTGATCAAGCGGGAACCAGTGAAAATGCACGGATGACTGCAATAATAATGTTATTGCAGTCAACCGGGTACTTCATTATTGCAGTAATCCGGGAACTTTTTATGAAAGCATACAATACGCTGATTTATTTTTTACCGCTGGAAACCTGAAATAAATAATAATTGTACATATTGTATTGTACTGTATTCCACTGATGGCAAGTTTTGATCCTTTCTCTGATTTACCACACACACAAAAAACTAGCCACCAAGCCAGAAGAGATATCCACCAAGCCCTACACCGGCGTCAAGCACAGCTTCAAGACCATGCCGGACGGCCGTCTGATCATCACCGAGCCTGAGAACGAGGAAAGCGAAGAGAAGGAAGGGAAGCAAATAGGGAAGAAGAAGAAGAAGAAGGGAGGGCAAAAGGAAGATGGGGAGGAGATGATGGACGACTTGGAGGAACTGATGGATGAGGAACTGGCTGCAAGAAAGGTTGGGACAAAAAAACGGAACAAATACTGGATTTCTTTATGGACCATTCGGACAGCCATTGCATAATCCAAATAAGCCATGTATGAGTGACCTATACCCTTGGGATTTAACTTTGAAAAACATCTGGTACACTGACTTGCTCAGAATGCTTGGCACATTTTAACCTTGAATTCTCCAGACCAAAGACACTGTTTGCTAATCACATGATTCAGGGCAAGCTCTTGCATAGTTACGTAGAGACGCTCAGCACCAATACATTGTTCACATGTGGGTGAGAATATTATTCCTACCCAGAACTATCCGGAAATGGAACAAGCTCCCTCAAGACACTATAGACGCCCCAAACCACAACACCTTTAAGGATTTAATTAGTTCCACTTCCCCAAGGCCTCCTTGTTAGACTTCCGCGTGGAGTATTCAGGAGGATAACTACCAAGTACCAAGAACCAAGAATGGCACAAAGACACAGACCATGCCGGTGCTGGGGGTTGCTAGCATAAGCCTTGCCCCGAATCACGTGATATAGTAACAGACCCTTTGGTCGGGAGAATGCAATTTAAAACGTGCAAAGCATTGGATTAAGTCAGCGTTCCAGATTTTATTCAAATTTAACTCGCAAATGGCTTGATGGGGCACTATTCTGCACTTGTTTTTTCTTTCTTTATTTTAAATAATATTTTGTAAAGCCATGGAGGGAAAGATCATTTGTCAACTGCATACAGCATCGATTTAAACATTTCTCTGATATAGTAACTAAAAAAGAATTTACCTTATTTAGGGGGACATTGCCATTATTGCACGTCCCCCTCCCCACCCCCCTTCTCCCTTCTGCTGACTTACCATTGCCTACATCAGAATCAGATTCAAATCAGCTGGCTTGGCCTTGGCCTTGGCCTTGGCCTTGGCCTTGGCCTTGGCTGATGCACGAGTAAGCAACATGTCTGTTTTAAAGGCATATAGGATCATTTGCTTTCCACACAATTGTTGGTTTTCCAATAATAACACCACTCAAAACCCAAAGAAGCATGTTCAAGGCCTAACCTGTTGAAGTTTCAGCTCAGTGGATATTAGCCTATTCAAGAAAACGGTGAAAAACCATGCACGACCTTTGGTCACGAAACATGATTTCGTCAAATTCCATAAATAGGTCAATTGACTGATCGTTGGAAGTCACAGGCCTACATTTTTTTAATTTCTTCTGAATGACACCGAGCCAGACAGAATAATTTCATGGGTGTGTTTAGTACAAGTACGATCTTTAAACCAAGCATGCTTTTTTTATGATAATCTGGTAGGTCAGTTTTTGGATAAATGCAAATGATACCATACGCCTTTAACCAGTTCACGCCGGAGGCTGTGTCTACACCAAAAAAAATTCCGAATTTCAGATCGGATGACTGAAAAACCCCCAACGACAAAGGCTGGAAAATATCTGTCGGCGAGCCACAGCCACCGACCGAGGCCAGAGTGAATATTAAACCTGTGCCTCGATCCGTTCTTGTCCAAATAAACCCGACCTCAAGTGGTTAATTAATGTTCCTCTGGTGAAGTTATCGTGCTTTGTGTTTCTCCTACAGACTGGTCGGAAGAGAAAAATTGAGGACTTCAGTGTGAGTGATGATGAGGATGAAACGCCCAACAAATACCAAGGTATAACTTCAAACCATGAGCACACTTATTTATTTCTTTTAGATTATTGCTACTTTTATTTAATACTTTTCATACTTTTTTAAAAAATGAATCCGCCTTCATTCCCCTCACCCCCTCCCCTCCAACCATTGGATGTTGGAAATGCAACGATTGAAATTTGTTATGCTGTATCGTAAAATCGAAATTTAAATCTATTTTTTTTTTTTTGGTTTTGCTTTGTTTTCCTGCTTAGCTGGTGGCAGTGGTATTCACAGACCTGTGGCTGTTGCTAAGCGCACACTGAAAGAACCGGGAACGGAATACAAGGCAAAGGTGTGTTTTTCTTTTATGTTTATCTTGATCTTGACAAATTCAGTTTGTATGTTTTGATAAACCAAAAGAAATGGAAACAATTGTTACCTACTTTGCATGAAAAATAACAAGCCACTCAGTTTGGTTCCCCTTTATTCTCTATTCATAAATACCTCAGACAGTTTAGCCATTCCTATTGGTCGAGAGCCCGTCACGTGGCCGGTCTTAAACGGATGATAAAGACATGGCTAGCTGGTCTTAAACACTTTTTCAGTGTCACATAAAATTTGGACTCCTAAAAATCCAGTGCCTCTTACCGTTTTATTGGTTGAACGCTCACAGTCCTCACGTAGGCATGCGCAACACTACCAGTGAGTCAGAATTTTATAGTTCTAAATTCAAAACGCAGCGCCCCAGGTGCGTTCTGCGCGACATCGCAGAGAACGTGCTTACATCGTGAACGTGTTTACATCTTAATCGCCAGCTGAACACTCCATTATTTAGCTAGAGGGATGTTTCAAAAAGCATAAAGTGAACGTGTTAACAAAATCAGGATTTTTGACCGAAATATTATAGTTTTTTGACCGAAAAGGTATTTATGAATGGGAATAAATATGTGCTCGGTCGGTATTAATCACTCTGTTTAAGACCGCTTAGACCGCTGATAATTACCCTCGCCTCCGGCTCGGGTAATTATAAGCACCCAGACTCTAAGCGGTCTTAAACAGAGTGATTAAAACCTCTCGAGCACACATTCCCTTATTTATAACTTTGGACAGGAAGGTAATTTACATTTGAATACAAATAGAATTGTTGGGCTTTTTTCAAATTTGACATATTTCGTTTATATTTCCAACAGCATCCAGAGTTAAACAAATAAAAATCCTAAATCAATGCACTGCACCAAATGTTGTTTATATGTCAAGTAATTAAAACTGCAATGTATAACTGATTTTCATTGTTGGACTCACAATTTGGGCAATTCACAATGCAGTGCGCCACAAGAGTTTGCCACGGGGAGTTAATTTTTCCCAGTGCATATGTGGGAGATGGTCGACAAATTCGCAGCGTGGGATATTTGAAATTGTTAGTTTGTCTGGTCAGTAGTTTTTTAAGCATATGATTGTAGTATCTGTTTGCCCTTTTCTTTCTTTCTATCAATATGGTGTTTTTTAGTAAGGAGGCAGAATGCTATGACCCAATAAATAACAAATAAGCTCAAGTTGTCTACTGACACTCCCATGTGCCATGGTTTGTTGACCTTAAACTTGAAAAATTGACTCTCCATGGCAAACTCTTGGTGGCGCTTTGTATTGAGAATGTCCAAATTGTTACCTACTTTGCGTGCAAAATAACAAGCCACTCGGTACCCTTTCATTCTCTATAACTTTGGACAATAACGTAATTTACATTTGAATAAAAATAAAATTGGTTTTTTGTTTTTTTTCAAATTTGACAGATTTTGTTTTATATTTCCAACAGCAATCTCTAGAGAGAAAAAGTTAAACAAAAACGTTTTAAATGAATGTACTGCACCAAATGTTTGCTTTTATGTCAAGGAATTAAAAGCAATGTATATCTGATATTAACAGTTTGACTCACAGTAGTTAGAACTTCACTGTTGTAATTTCTGTTTTGGCAGAAAGCAAAAGGTGACATCAAGAAGAAGAACAAGCACGATCCCTACGCCTACGTACCTCTCAGTAGACAGCAGCTCAATCGAAGGTCAGTCTCAGTGTTCCTCCACTTCCATTTTTCCATGGCTGTTTATCATTGTGACAATTTTCTGTTGTTCGTTTGCAAAGGTTGAGTTGATTCTTGTTCATTCGTGTATTTGTTTTTATGCTGTCATCCTCATCAATAACAAATGCTTGAGCTTAGAACATTTTCAGGAGCTTAAGGAGCTGGGGCCAATTTCACGGCGCTGCTAAGCACAAAAATTTGCTTAGCACAAAAAAAGTCTGGCTTATAAAAGCAGCTTACCAGCCAAAACTCCATGTGATGTATATTGCTTGTGATTAGTATTTAGCTGTTGTTTGCTCAGGATGAAAATCACATGGAGTTTTGGCTGGTATCCTGCTTTTATAAGCCAGGCTTTTTTTGTGCTAAGCAAATTTGTGTGCTTAGCAGCTCCATGAAATCGGGCCCAGCCCTCTACACAAACCTCTTAGCTCAGGAAAACATGTATTGTTTCCTACAGTTGTTTAATGATGTCTTTGTTTGTAGGGCACGTAGTTATCCATGGAACTTGAACATATCGTGTTGCTGTGGGTCACACCCCATTAGCAATGGCAACAAATGAAATTTAGTGATCACTGTAAAATTCATGTTTGTGGCCCCTTCCCCACTTTTTTTTCAACTGTATGACATGCACTATTATAATTCCTCTCTGACATTTCATTATCTTTCTTATACGCTCAGAAATGTCCCTGATTTCAGGATTTGTGTTTTGCAGAAGTTGTCCAGATTTCAGGAATTTTTGTCAGGATTTTTCCTGAATTCAGGATTTTCAAGGAACCCTTTTGAAATCTGGAGTCCCTGTTGGTTTAATGTGAAGGTGTTTTTACCTATAAAAGTTTACAAATAACAAGAGAAATTGGTATTTTAGAGGCGCCATTAAAGTCAGAATTACACAAGCATATACCACGGACCATAAGTGACCCTCAATCCTCTGCCAATTATTTAGTGCATATTTTGTTTTTTACCTTTTCTCACCTTGCTTACATTGTACATATGTATATCCTTCTGTATTGGGTTTCAAAATGTGACCCACTAAAAGTGGTCATACCTTCCACTTTTGTCTTCTTGCTTTTTCCTTTTACAGAATGAAAGCCCAATCTGCCGGATTATGGAAGAAGCTTGCTCCAAAAGGGAAGAGGGGTGCTAAGCAGTCCCAGAAAGGACACAAGAAATGATCCGAAGAGAACTCCCTGAAGAGACATGCTCAAAAAAAAAAATCCACTTTGTTTCTGTTATCTCATGAATGCACAGCTGCAGTATTCTCCAAAATAATTTGTGAGACATTGCCAAATTATTTTTTTCCCACTTTCTGTGAAATTTTCATTAACCTTGCTTTATATATTGGTGTTGAAGAGCAAGGTGTGAAAGTAACAGCCTGATGAATAATTCATTAATAAAACTGCATAATAACATTAATAAATAAAAAGGCTTTGGAGCATTTCTTTGATGATCAAAGAAATCCCAAATTAGTTTCACCATCTATAATATGCATTTGGTTTAAAGATTGCAAAAAGTGGTATCTTAGGCAATACAGCAAAGTTAAGGACTCTATTTAAAGATGTATGGTCTATTTAAAGATGCATGGATGTCTATTTGAAGATGTATGGAGATCCATTAAATCAATCATTTGCACATCACATGATACAAACAGATTCTTGGCTTATCCTTACAGTCGCTTATTAACGGTCAGCAATTACAAATGTTCCAAAAAGCAATATATATCTTTCATACTTCCAAATATTTTCAAGATTGCCCATCTTATAGATAGTGATTGGTTGCTATACCAGCTGCTATATCAGCTGAAGCCCTGTGGTCCAATGGTTACGGTGTTCGACTCACATGCTGTGGTACGTGGGTTCAAACCCTGACTAGGAACATGGTGCTTGTGTTCTTGGGCAAGACACTTTACTACAATTGCCTCTCTCCACCCAGGTGTATAAATGGGTACCTGTGAAGGTAGAGACAAGAATGTGCTGATCTCGAGCTGCTGCAAAAACTGGTCTCGTGCCTGATGAACAGGGGTAATAATTGCAAAGCGCTTTGAGACCGTTGGTATAAAGCGCTATCCGCCCCGTTCACAAGTACCCCTCACCGGCAAGAAAGTACAGTTGGGGGTGACCGAATGACGCCGTTTTACCCGACTGCAATATTTTGCTGCGAAGCGCGGCCACTGCTTGTACATAATACAAATTCCCTGGTGTATGTACGTCACACACAAGGAACGGTGCGCGTGCGTCAACCAGCGAAATGTAAGTGTCCCGCCCATGGGACGTCGTTGCTAGGTAAAAGGGCGGCCTCTTTTTGTTAGCACACGGAGCCCATATAAGCGCCACATTGTTATTATTATTTGAACAGCCAGATGACCCTGGCAATTGCAAGCTGGATGATCAAGTGGAAAGAAATTTGCACTAGTAAGCTTGAGGTCGTGGGTTCTAGTTCCACCTGAAGCTTGACCATTTTTTCCCCCAAGACCTCAGACGGTGACTGCTGTATGTTCCGACACCCCTATGTTCCGACAACCTAGATTGTGTTACTCCCGGTTAGGGTTAGGGTTAGGAATAGGAATATGTGCAGTCGGAACATAGAGGTGTCGGAACATAGAGGTGTAACCCCTCAGACAACACCGAGTATAAAGTGTTCATAAAAATCGCGTCTGTGCAGGACAACACCAAATATCAACTTAAGTTTTTGAAGAGTACAAACTAATTTTAGTCGGCAAAAACACCACAATAACACAGCATGGGAAAGACTGAATGAAGTAACTTGATGTCGTGAATATTGCGATCACTGTTTCAGCTTACTACTCGGGCGTGGTAGCAAGCTAGTTTGAAGAAAACTGGAGAGAGGAGATGTTGACAAAATCGTGTTAAAGGAAACCACATTATTTTACTTCACTTTCCACCAAACAACTGAAGTCTCAGTGGTGGGGGACTTACAAAAAAAACTGTATATGACAGACAAACCCTTACAAAGTCTTATCCAGGGGTCACTAAGGAAGACGTTGAACTAATATTCTCCCCTACCCCCTTTTACTGTCATTGCAAAACGTATCTTGGGACCATGTAAGTTTTTTCTTAATGAGCAACAAGAGATACTCAAACGAATATGAGAAGATGTGAGCCATCGATGCATCCACAAGTACCCAGGCCAGTGAAACAGACAAACCAAGAAATAAGAAGTTGCCTTTGCCCATTGTGGCTTTTCAGTTGCCGAAGACAATTGATAACTATCCAGCAAGTAAAACTTTTTGTGAAGGCTGCAGATTAAATCTTCCCCTGTTAAAAAAGGCCAGAATCCCACAGGTTTACAGGCGGTTTTTCAGTAGTTCTCTGAATGATTTCCCTACGGTACTAAAAAGACAAACAAGCTCAACAAAAAAGCAAGATCTTGAAAGAAAAATACAATTTTACAAGGCACGTCAGGGCACACATCAAATTAAAGCTTGTTAAACTTCTTCACTCGATTTTTTTTTACTATTATTTTTGAGTAATCCTGAGCCTGTTGGGATGATATTCTTTTGGAGAGATGTCATCTCTTGAAGTAGCCCTGAAGACAATTGCCAATCCGAAAGATGGTCCCTGAACAACATTGCAATATATAGTGCATTAATCGTCGGCGTATAATTCAAGTTTCCCTGAATGCTATTTCCTGTTCATCAGAGCAGCAACGCGCAGTCGTGCTATCCCATACTTAGCAGGATCCCCTATTGTTCCATCTTTTGATCCTACTGTTTGTACTCTAACTTTTTTCTCAACATCTCCCTTAAGGTTTGTACACAAAAAACCTCCCGGGGGTTTGGCTCAGTTGAGCTAGTCCTCGGGGTAAGTATTATCGCAAATCCCCCATTGTCCCAAGTCCTCGGTCGTGAAGGATAACAAGAGCACTTCATTTGACAAACTCTGGAGTGTGTGGACTACAAAACCCGCTTTTAAAGACATACAGAATCATTTGCTTTTCATGCATATTCCAATAATACTCCACTCAAAATCAAAACAAGTTAAGGATGTCAAAAACCTTAAGCTGTTAAATTGACAGCTCGGTGGATATTACACAGTGAAAAACCATGCACAACATTTCCATCACAAAACACAAATCCGTCTATATTGTCATTGAAGATTTTATGTCCAAAAGTCAGTCTGTTGCAGCAGCGTATCCAGGTTTTGATGTGGGGGGGGGGGGGGGGGGCAACCGATATCCGCGCTGAAATGTAGACATGTAATTTCTCCGGACACTTGCATGGGCGTCGCGAGGGGGGGGGGGGCACTTGCCCCCCCCCCCCCCGGAAAAGCCAAAAAAAAAAAAAAGAGGCGCGAAGACATAGTGGTGTAAATTTCATGGGTTGGGGGAGGGGGGGGCAAAATGTCCCTGCCCCTCTAAAACTGATAAATCGAGAATGTGTTGAGAAATACAGGCATTTTTTGGCAAACTTTTTTTGCCCCCCTCTAGAAAAAATCCTGGCGACGCCCATGGACACTTGCCCTCCGTAAAATGAAAAAGCGGGGGGGGGGGGGGGGGGGGGGCTGGCACCCATCTTCAAATGGGGGCGATCTTCAAAACTTACCATTATTATGCACACTACATATAATATGGACATTACCACGGCGCATTGTAATGTTGTTGAGCGGGTTTTCTAACTTTTCTTTGGTGGGATTGATGTCAGAAGAACTCAAAAACAAATTGTCAAAACAATCCGGGGGGGGCAAAGTGCCCCCCCCCCCCCATACGCCACTGGTCTGTTGGCTGATCGTTGGAAATCACCTGAAATTTTCTATTTCTTCTAAAAATGTCAGCAAGCCAGACTGAATAGTTTCCCAGTGTTTAGTACCAGTGCGATTTTAATACAAGTAAGCTTTTTTAGGACAATTGCAAATGATCCTAATATGCTTTTAAGAGGGGCGGATCTAGATTAAGGCGAATACACGAGAAAGTGTGGATTCGTAATTTAAGAATTCACGAGGCGAGAAGCGCCGAGTGAATTCGTAAATTAAGAATCCACACTTTCTCGTGTATTCTTCGACTTAAACCATTGCGCCAACAGAAGTATTGGAAAGCATGTTGCAACCTGACGCCACTTTTTTCTTCATATATCATCTCAATTAAGGTCATTCGTTGCCAAAATGATGATCAAACATGAATCTGGGACTGAGAAAAGTTTCCAATTTGTTAGGAAATACTTGAAATGACTCTCCATAGACTTTGTACACAAGCCTGGAAGTGGCGTCAGGTTGCAACAGTTTTTTTCCTGGCGTGTTTAGCACGTGTATCGCCAAACCCGTACAACCAAGTCATTTTGTGTGTATAGGTTCCTTACGTCAAAATGGACAGTTCAGACGACGATTTCTTTCTGACTAAAAGTAGTTTTTGCAGTGACGGCGGAAAATCTGACAGTGAAGATGCATTGGTAATTTTCTGAAAGCAAATTTTCACGCTGAAGGTCCTATTCATGCTCATTATGGAGAGCAATTGTCCGACATGTTCAAAGTGTGGATTCGTAACTCCGAATCCACACTTTACTAAAGATTCGTAGTTCCGAAGCCACACTTTGTGACCAGTGTAAGAGATTCGTAGATCCGAATCCACACTTTTAACAATAGTGTGACGTCACAACAATGGTTTAACTTTCAGGAAACGACGGGCGTTGGTATAATGGGGGTGTTTCTCCTGCATTCTAAGGCAATTCAAGAATAAAATAAGAAAATTTAGCATTCCATCTATTATTTGTGGCCCCATTTTACTAGTTTCATAACATTAGTCAGCGGTACGTACGATGTGAAACGCTTGTATCGTTGGTACCAATGCTATTTTCACCATTTTTCACCGGCGAACTTGCAGACGATCAGCTGTTACAGCACGCTACATGCATGTGAGTTGACGTTCGATTGTCATGATTGCTGTGTTTACTGCTGTTTGTTTTCGTGATTTTTACTTAAAAATCAAAAGAATCCAAGACAGAGATATAACAAAAACAATTGTTGACTGCTGTGATGTGGGATATGTTTTTGAACACCCTCGAGCCACATAGCACTTATGCGTCCCTGGGGTGTTCAAAACGTCATATCCCACATCACAGCAGTCAACAGTTGTTAATCATGCGTTCTGTAGAGCCCTAATATATAAATGGCGCACTCAAGACGGAAGTACTTTTTTCAGATTTGTTAAAGCAATCTCGGACAAACAACCGGGTTTTTTTTGTACACGCACAGGCAGTCCGTATAGGAATATGTAAATAGTGTGAAATATACATCTTTGCAACTTGTATAATGTTTACAATGCTTATAAGTACCCCACCCCAAGCCAACACTTAATGATAGACAAAAAGCTTGATATAATTAAGATTGCACATGGCTGATACTGTGATTATAATTTATACAAGTATACCTTCAAATCAACAAGCACAATTACAATATTGTGGAATCAGTAATGTACATTAATGCTAGGCATATACTCATATGCCGTGATACATTATAGGAATTGGTAACACATTAGAATGCAAAACACTCTAGACATATTGGATTATAAACCAACGACCATATAACGTATACCGGTACTTTACGGGAAAATAAACGCTCACAAATTTGCATTTCTCCGACAATTTTCTAAAAACTGATCCCATCTGTAAACTCAGTGCGAATTATGAGGATCGCAATTATTA